AAAGTCTACATTAAAGAATGGTTTGTGTCGAGAATTCAAGTGTGGTTCAGAATTGTTTGCCAAGCAAAGAAGATGTACAGAAGACGTCAAGGGTCACGAGAATGATTCCACTTCCACTCATATTGGCTGGAAACCCCCTGCAGAGGGATGGATTCAGCTGCAAACTGATGGTTCTGTCTTAACACAATAAGGAGGAGCAGCTTCAGGGGGACTCCTTCAAGATCACCTCGGGAACTACAATGAAGCCTTCACTTGCAATCTTGGGAGATGCTTTATCCCAACAGTTGAACTTAAGGGCGCAGCAGAGGGACTGAAAATTACTAGGGACAAGGGCTATCGGAAGGTGAACCTGAAGATGGACTCTATCACAGCAATTGACGTCATTAAGAACAGGGACAATGAAGACCACAGACATGGTAGCATTGCTCAACAGTTTAATCGCCTTCTCAATCTCGAATGGGAAGTTTCGGTGGAACACGTGTACAAAGAGGTAAATTTTGCAGCTGATTACTTGGCGAATCTTAGCCATGATTTCCATTTTGGTACACACAATCTCAATGTTAAAGATTCTAGTTTAGTTCAATGGCTTCGCAATGATGTAATGGGTGTTTTCCATGAACGTTTTATTAATATGAGTTAGACGCTCTTGCGTCGATCTTTCTACAAAAAAGCGTGCTAATTAGATGAGTGTCCACAAACCGAGAACTAAAACGCATGTGTAAATGTTCGCCTTGTATTTGTCTAACACTTTGCGAATAGTATCAAATTAACTTGCAATCCCGGGACGGGATACCTGTCCCGTTTGAAACGGGTACCCAATCCAATTTAGAGAGCAATCTCCATCCCATTCCCAAACCCGTACAGGTTAACGGGTATCCATTACCCATACGGGACGGATAACGGGTACCCATACTACCCGTATATACCCGTTCAATTGGTGGAAGAACTACAAAAGTTTTAACACACAATTAAACAAACCCACCTAAAATGAGAAGCTGCCACCATCACTATCATGAACACACAAATCACACAATTAAGGAGAGTTAAAAGGCTAATATGAGAAACCTACAAACAATTACACAATAAAACAAACCTACAAAACCACATAATCTGAACACTAAAAGAGTGAAAGAGAAGCCGCCAAAACAGCAGCAAATTCTTTAGTACTTTGGCTCCAAAACAAGAGCAGCACCTTCTTTGTTCTTTGACTCCAAAATTCTAGTTGAATCCCTTCTTTGCACTAATGAGTTTTGGGCTTTTTGGACTAATGGGTATAACGGGTACCCGTAATACCCAAACGGGTAACCTGCGGGTACCCAAAGTAGTGATTGTTGATCCAAAATTCCATCCCGTTAAAAAAAATACGGGTATTTGGGTACCCGTAACCCTTAAAAAAAGGACGGGTACGGGTATACCCAAATACCCGTTTCCCGTTGCCCACCCCTAGATTTGACCATCAACATGACATAGTACCACAAATAATTTGATTTTTCCACGGGGCTGTTGTTTTGTTTTTGGGAGTGAGCCAGTGAGGCGTCATTACTCATTAGCTACTTTAGTTGTACTTGACTTGAGAGTTTGTTTAGCAACAATTTTCAGCCATTTGTCTAACTTTTCTGCATCATTTATTTGTTTATTAATAATATTATCCTTACTGTTTCATGTACAGAATTTTTATCGTTTCCTGTCACCTCCCGTTACATCCAAAGCTTCGATTTTTTCCCTTTCTATGAATAAAGCTTCCATTTCCTTTTTACAAATTAAACAAATGAAAGAAAATTATATTAAATCGAATAAAAAAAAGAAAAGGAAACGGCAGCCACAGCGAGGACGAACGATGGAGTAGTCATCCCCATTCCATTCACCTGTTGCTGATGATCTTCTTTTTCTCCCAAAAATAAAAATATATATAAAAGCCTTTTTTCCCCTTCAATGGCTTCCCCACATTCATTCTCCCTCCCTTCCCTCTTTAATTAACTCTTCTTCCCTCTCTTTCTCTCTGTGCCTCTCGTTCCTCTACGTTTCCTTCCTTTTTCCTCCATTTCCTCCCTGTTTTCCGTTTAGATTCGTGCGGGAGGGAAGGGATTCTACTCACAGATTACGCGCAAGGCAAAGAGCCAGCAGCAGGAGGAGGAGAAGAAGAAGAACAAGAAGAGGGAAAATGGCATCCAACATAGGGATGATGGACGGCGCATACTTCGTCGGCAGGAATGAGATATTGACTTGGATCAACAATTGCCTTCAGCTCAACCTCTCCCGCATTGAAGAGGTCCTCCTCTTTCTTCTTCCTTGTCCTTCTTATTCTTCTATTTTACGGCGTTGTCGGCGGGAATCAGGTTTAGCGAATGGGGAATGGCTCTTCGTTTGCTGCTTTTTTTTTTTGCTTTTGGCTTTTACGGCTTAGCTTCCGTTTGCAGGGAATTTGAATTTCTGTGCTTCCATATTCTTCAATGGCGCAGTGAATATTGTATATATGATTGAAGTTCGGCCTTCGGTTTTATGTTGCTTGTTTGGAGTCTAAATTAGCTAGACTCCGCGCCGTGAGAGAGAAATTTGTGTAGATTGCAGGCGGTATGCGTGATGTTTCGGTCGGATTTCCATCTGAAGTTCGTCAATGTTTTCCAGGGGATTGGGACGATGATGTAGATTTTTCTCTCGTTCATGATTCTGGCCTTCTATCCTTCGTTTGGTTGATGGTTTCTTCATGTATATGCAGGCTGCGTCTGGTGCAGTTCAATGCCAGATGATGGACATGACTCATCCAGGAGTTGTCCCAATGCACAAGGTGGTGACAAAGACTATGATTTTTTTCGCATCATTGTGTCATTTGATGCCCAAACTTTACCAATTCATGGATTGCATTTCTATGCAAGCTTCACTTTTGATGATAGCATTGGTTCGGTTGTAGGTCAATTTTGATGCCAAGTCAGAATATGACTACATCCAAAACTACAAAGTTCTACAGGATGTATTCAACAAGTTAAAGATTGATAAGGTATCACTTTCTGATTTATAGCTTTTTGTTTCTGGGTACTGTCATCATTGTGGACCTTCTTGGAGTTGTGTCATATTGTGGTTTGAGCTCGTGATTACTTGGTGGGATCAACTTTATGCCTTTGGAACTACATGGTTTTCCAACTTAACTTTGTTGGTTTTAACAGTATAATTCCAGAACCAATAATGCTTACTGCATTGGGGAAGGTATATCTCGTCTTGCTACCAATTAAAGTATGATCGCATAGTGAAGTTATTTAAGGGGATAAAAGAAGGGAAATTATCAGAGCCCTTGTGGGTTGTGGCAGCTAGCAAACTCATGCCATATCTACTCTATGTATATATTTGTTTTACTAGTTGGCAGTTGCGATCAACTATAGCCTGTAAAATGTCTTGTCACTGAAATCTCTACCTTCTTTTGCCTACATGGGCAGCATATCGAAGTGAACAAGCTTGTCAAGGCAAGGCCATTGGACAATTTGGAGTTCTTACAATGGCTGAAGAGATACTGTGATTCTGTTAATGGTGGCATTATGAATGAGTATGCTACCTTTCCCATCCATGACTGTCTTCTATTCAATTCTATGCTTTTCTTGACTGCTAGAGCCTTGCACCTGATGAATGTTCTTTAATACTTGCAAATGCTGTTGCTTTTCAGGAACTATAATCCGATTGAAAGGAGATGCAAGGGTGGGAAAGAGCGGGTTAAGGGTTCTATAAAGGCTTCAAAATCATTGCAATCAAATAATACCCATCATCACTCTGCTACAGTTGACTCAGGTGGAATGCATAAAACTTTCAGCAGCATGCACCCCCAAACTAGCTTCCTTCCCCTATTTCCAGCATTTTTGTTCACCTTGAAACCATATTACTTCATTGCAGGGCCAAAGCCAAGTCGGGCAAGTACTGGGTCAGGTGGGGGGAATCATTCTTCAGTAGATATTCAGGCGCTGTCCAATGAGGTACTAACTAAATCCCTTCTTGTTGTCTTGAACTAAAAAGAGAATGCATGCTCCACTCCCTGGCATTCAGATTTGCATTTTTTAACGTTGGCTCATTTGTTGAGTGCAGATTACGGATTTGAAGCTCTCGGTAGACCTTCTGGAGAAAGAGAGAGACTTTTACTTTGCGAAGCTACGCGATATAGAGATACTTTGTCAGATCCAGGAGTTGGAGGATCTTCCGGTAAGGGAGAAGCATATTCCCTTATAAACCAGAGGAAGACGGCTCTTTGACCAAATGGACATTGTTGTATTTTTTAATGTAGGTGGCAGTTGCAATCAAGAAGATACTATATGCAGCTGATGCCAAGGAGTCTGCACTGGAGGAAGCTCAGGAGTATCTAGCTGAAGCTTTGAATGCTGGTGAAGATGAAGGAGAGGAAGCCTGAGCTTGGTTGAGCTCTTGAGCTAGCGTAGGTGCTTTCAGGGAAGTCTTTTCCATTCCACCACCCTTCCAAAAACAAAAGATGCTTTCAGGGAAGCGTAAACGGAGGCGTTTAAACTCGGCGGTCAAATGCCCTCGTTGATCATGCTTCAATGAAGAAACTCGTGAAGAGACTGTGCTCTGGTCATGGTCAATGATCAACTAGTGTCAACTGGATGTGGAAGGATACCAATCTTCTTTGTTTCTATAATATACCACCTGACCGGCTTGTTCATCCGATGTTTGTTCTGTGTTGTTGAAAGAGGTGCCTGTTAGTTTTCCTTTTTGGGAAGTTAAAGAGTGCAGATATTTGGAATTTAAGGTAACCCTAACACTAGGCTCAATTAAGCCATGGATGGAGTATTGGGCCTTCGTTTCAACTGTAATGTTGGTTTTGATATATTTCTTGTTGGTGATCCTTGACTTTGTTGGAATCTGAAATTCCTACAGAGAGATTTCCTATCTCTGTCCGTTGCTTAAATTTGTTATGAGGACACATATGTAAAGAAGCAAATTGCCCCGACAAGAGTACATTTGGCTTCTTAGTGGAGCAGACAAAGTTCCATTGGCAAATCAACATAAACCGTTCTCCACATCCGATACTAGTTAGAATAAGAGGTCGGTACATTATTTAAAAAAATCATTGAAGAAATGCCGATATATAGACAATCACAATATAGAATAAGCTGATCTGAGAACGAGGCTGGTCAGGACGGGTTGGGTAGAATAGAAGACTTGACTTGTGAGGCCATGACAAGCAAGTATGAGAAGATGCAAAGCCTGCATTCTTAGTCGAGTTATGTGCAAGGTTCAGATACAAAAGAAAGCAAGGGGGATTTCTATCATACACCCAAACAGTTTGCTGCTAATTACTCTCTACTACAACAAAACACCACGTTTACACAGTGATTTTAGATACCTAATAAGGTGGACTATATCTAGACAACAGCTCCCGCGGTCTGGGTACTAAGCAGTGCGAAAATGGGACGATCAATATCGGTACTCGTCTTCAGCCTGGCCGAATATCGAGTAACCAGTGGTGCTCCTGGATTTATCCTGCAAAAACCACCCCCCAAAAAACACGCGTCAAAAGACTCCCAACATACAGTGGAGGATTGAAGGTATAAACCCTACTAAGAAACTATGCACTCCACGAGTTAGTCTGAATGTATGGCTGCTGTATGCATGAGAGATAGCAATACATGAATGGCATTACATACCCTGTGGATAAGAGTCTCAAATGCCTCAGTGCCATTCTCTTGGATGTATTTCTCAGCAGCAGTCAGAACGTCATCTTTCTCAGTGAAGACGTCCTTCTTCCTTGGCACATACCATATGTTGATGGTTTTTTGTGGGTTGAGGAAGAGAGGCCTCAGAAAGTGTTCATAGACATAAGCAGCGCCGCTGAAGTATGGTAGCACCAACCAGCAAGTGAAAATGAGCTTTGCATACGACCAGATAGGTATCCTGCCCGGTCATCCATAAACAAATCTATCAGAAGGCTGAAATATATAGAGGCAAAAGTCCAAAAGACTGAGCTGACCTACACAGCAATAAATAACCGTAATTCACTATCTGATCATCATGATCATAGAAGAATGGATATGATTTCAGTAACCATAACTTGTAGGGAAGCTGAGAAGCACAACCATATACAAGAACTACTGCGGGGAATACATAACCAAGAGTTCCATACTTCAGTCAAGTTATGTTACTCTATTATGACATATATAGTGAAAAATGAGCCGAGGTATTCAGACAAGAAGAAAATGAGTCACCATTCAATAACCCTTGCAAAGGTGAGCTCCAAGAGTGTGATCATGGAGTAGAGAACCCAATAGGTGAGCCACTGGCGATCATCATTCTGGGACTTGGTCTCTATTGCCCGGATCGAGGCATACCTGATCCATAAAACCAAATTCATAAGCTACCCATTGACAGTTTCATACAGGTATAGAGTGACGAAATTTGGACATGTTCAGCATCAATCAACATCTATCCAAATCCAGCCCATGAAAGAACGATTCTGAATTTGCAAATGCCATAGGAATCGAGATTCACAGAAAAGTAGCCATGACTTACAGAGGATAAACGAGACTGACAACAGGCCTGCAACAAATCCAACCAAAATTTCATCAAATAAGGTTCCATTCCCTTGTTTGGAATCAAAACCTAGTTAAGTAAAGCTCTGAGCATTTTCTAGTAATCGAAGGAATCTGGGTAGCAAACCAGTAAATGGAGAAGAAGAGGAAGCATACCCAGCAAGAACATCGAAGTTCTTGAGAAGAACCTTGAGGAAGCTTCCAGCACCAGATCCCATAGCAGCTAGTAGAAGTGGGTTTGCTTTGCAAATGTTGGGGTTCCTTGAAGCTGAGTGGAATATATGTGAAATCTCCGGTCTTTGCTTCCTATCTGCGCTCTCTTAGCTCACAGCCGCACTCGGAGTTTTGTCGCGATCGCCGACGCAGGTGCTATGGCCCTTTGGCTGTACGGCTGGCTGGATGGCTATTCGGCGTGTCGGGAAGCAGCAGTGGACAGGTGGGGTGAGGAGTGAGACTGAAAGAGTGGGCGAGTGAAGATGGTTTGATGGAGAAATCTAGGCGGAGGCGAAGTTTAGTAAAGCAGCTCAAAGGGAAACTAAAGTACAAAAAGGTCCTCAATTTTAACCTTTGTTGACACTGAAGCTCCAAACATTATACCAAAATGATGGTCCAAGTCTCCAAGAAGATTAGTGATTAGGTAAAAGGGGGCTTTTTCCTACCTATCTTTCTACCTATTCAATTATTAACTCAATGCTAAATGGACATCACAATAATTTGGTAGATGTAAGGAAGTAGGGTTACAATCATACCTATGATTTTTGTTGTTGTTTAGTACGATGATAATTTTATAAATAATGTCATGGCACGTAACAAACGAATGAAAGGGGTAGCGTCACAAAATAGCCATTTGTAACTAGTGTAAGTGTACATAACGAGTGAACGAGATTGCAAATGGTATATACTTTGTTCACATAATACCGATTTATAAATAATGTCATCGCACATAATGAGCGAACGAAATGCCAAATGGTATATACTTAGTACACATAATAGCCGTTCACTTTCGTGACCAAACTTCCGGTTAAAATCAATTGGGCATCGTTAAGATCAAATCTCAACAGGCCAGAACAGCAATGGTAATTACTAATTAGGTAAGGTCAGAATGGAAGGAACAAGGGGGTAGAATTTCAGCAGGTTAGAACGGAATGGGTAATTAGGTAAGGACCAGAATGCAAAGAACAAAGGGCTTCTCTAGTTATTATCTTGCGGTATATATCAATGTCCTGCACTCCATCAACCATTTAATTTCCAGTGTGGCTGAGCTCAAGAACTGTCGCCCGTCGACAAGATTGCAGATCCTGTGAAAACTACACTGCAGCTCCTATGCTGGAAACCATCTTCAAGTTTGAGCCTAATAACTAGTAAGCACTAAACTGGATGGAATGAAATGGGAAGAAATGTAACATCTTTAATCCCACAATTTCCCAAGGACTCATTTCCTTCTCTAAAAATAGCAACTTTGTTTAGTTCAGCAGAGGACGTTCAAGCTCTAGCAGACAATCAACACATGCCAAGTTAACACAGAAGCATCTACAAGTAGGAAGAGGGGATGTGAATGAGGTCCTTTGTACAGCTAAAGGGATGTCAATATTCAATTATTCCCGAGGATTACACGTATTGTCATTGCTATCTCCTACTTGAACTTCTCTTCTACCTAGAAGCTGGGACGACCAAGAATCAGCCATTGTTGGATACCTGGGGTGCGGTTTGCTCACATTCGATTTGTTGATTGTTTGAAACGATGAGAGATCAGGATGGATAGGGACCACAAACACTGCCGGTGGTTGCTGCAATGAGCCATCTATGGCAGGGTGTCCTGAAAAGTGGGGTGCTAGAGCTGCTGCTGTTATCTCTGCCTGCTGATACTCCACAGGCGGAATGTTCAAATCGGGTTTGGATTGGGCCAACCGAGTTTGTACCTCGCTCCTCAACTTCTCTATCTGGTTTTCGAGTACAGAGTTCTCTTCTTTGAGCTCATTCTTCTCAACAGTTACCTGGATCAATAGGAGAAAGAAGTCATCACTAATGGGAAAGAATTGACACATTTGACAGGAAAGCAAGAAGCTTCCTCACATATTAGGGGGGAAGTTCAAATACACGAGGGGACTTACATAATGAGATTCAGACAGCAAAGACACATTTTCCTTCTTCAGGGCATCAATTTGTACAACCAGGTCCTTCAAAAGCCGAGCAGCTTCGTTTAAAATCGAGGCTTTGCCATTGTTTGGTTGCTCCAATTCTAATTAAGAAAGAAAAAGGCATTGTTCTTGGTTAGAGATCTAGAACAGAAACTATGCTTGCCTTCCAAATCTAATACAACTGATGTGAGACAGTGTGGAGAAATTACCAAGAGCATCAGCCAGGTCGAGAAAGAGATCATTCAATTGCTCACGCTTCAGTTTCTCTCTCTCAGCTTTGTGAGCCCTTCTGGGAACTTTTGCCTTGTTCCTGCCCGTACGAGACCTGTTAAATTGAAGGATTCAATTCACTCCAAAATGAAAAACAGCTAGACGACTTGCGTTCATGGAATCCCACGAGGGAAATCAGGCAAAACAATTCATGATAATGCACCCCAGTTCCCCCCAGAGCTTGGTGAAACGACTGTAGGAGTATTAAAAAACGAAAGCACCCAACCCATTCAGACCAAAGCTTGCAGTGCCGGATGGACCAACATTGATAGTCTTTACAAACCCATTTCACTCAACCCACAACAGAGAAAGGAAAGCTGAATAATTTTGAGTTTCCGAATTCTAAAGATTGAGGAAATCAGAATCCCGAAAAGAACACAAAATCTAAAGAGATCTTACCCTTTTTCAGTAGCTACTTCCGCTGTTCCATCGACCGCATCATGAACATCAGCAGCATCAGAATCCATCCTCTCCCCCATCGAAATGAATCGAATATCTGCCAACCAAAAAGAGCCAAGTCAAAATCCAGTAAAAAAATCAAAACTTTAGCAACTGTATGTGTAGGAAATAAAAGGGTTCCAATTAGTGGAATTTATTCATCAAAAAACATTCGCTCTTACAACTCCAAATCCTCCTATGACTCTCACAAGCACGAAGGAGTCGCCATATCCATTGTTGTTCTGGACGGAAACAGAAACCCTAATATACTAGGGGGCGAAAATTTTACCTGAGGAGATAATAGAATCGAGCAGCAGGAATCGGAATTTGATTGAGGGAAGGAATCGTGTTTGAAGTAGAAAAGGAGAGGGAGGCTGGGAGAGTGGGAGGTGTGGGTTTTGTTTTGGGAAGAAGAGGAAGGAAGGAGACGGAGCGGCGGAGGAGAGGTGGTGGCGTGTGGCGTGTGGCGGGAGAGACGACAAGGAAAGCAAGCAGTGCGCGTGGTGAGCAGATGCCGTGGCGGTTCATTCAACTCCGGTGCGCGAGCCTGCCACGTGCTTTCCTCACGCCTTTTCTTCTTGTTTTTTTACTGCCTTCCTCGTTTTTTCACCTTTGCCACGTGTCTCGTCTGAATTTCGGCCACCTCAGCTTCCCACTAGGGTTCTTACTTTTCTTCCGATGGATAAGACGAGTGAGAACAATTTCTACCCAAGATTGTCAACCGTGGTTCACTCGGATTGACCCGAACCGGGTTAGGAAAAAATGTCACATATCTACGGGTAGTAATGACAATGGGTCGGGTATCTCAATATCCATGTCCCGCCCCACTTTACTATGAGTCGGGTGGGGCAGGGCGGGTATTGGGTGGGGCGTGTCGATTCACTCTTACATGTTATTCGAAAAAGAAACACACAATTTTTACTTTTTACGATAAAATGAATTGGAAAACACTTTAAACGTGAAAATAGCGATAATAGATTGGACAATTGAGTCTAAAAAGTTGAAAAATCGACTCTAACTAGTTGAAGAAAAATTAAAATAGGAGAAATGTGTATAGCTATTGTAAGAAATTGAGATAAAATGAGTCAAGAACAAGGCGGGACAGGATAGGACGGATCAGAAGTAGATACTCATGTCCCGCCTCACGCTACTGTCGGTCAGGTAATACACGACCCATCAAGGGCCAAGTAGCGCGTAATACTCGCAGGGCGGGTTCAAATTGCCATCACTATCTACGGGTCGACTTGGAGCAATATTTTAGAATTGGAGGTCACAACTCACAAGTGTCGTTTTTTTATTTTGTTTTGCGAATTGTGCTTCTTTTCCGATTTTCATCTTCGCCTAACTTTATCTTTGGAATTCTAAATTGAACATTTGAATATTGATGCCATATTAGTGTGTCCGAATTTAACTATATATTGAATCCAAGTACAAACTGTTATTTTGATGTAATACTCTATGTTATTACTCATATATTTAGATGATATCTGATATAATTAAGAGCACTAAGGGGTTGTGCGAGCGGTTTGTAAGTGAAAAGTTAGCACATAATCAAATGAGGTTTTCTTGGTTCTGGTATAGGGATTATACCAGGGTGGTTCTATTGGTAGGTTAGCTGATAGGAGTTGAAAAGGTTTCGTCAATCAACCCAAGAGGCTGATTGGACGAAGTTCAAGTCTATATTTTGCAAGAGCTTCAAGAACATATCACTATTGAATCGTCAGAGATCGCAAGAGAGCGATACTATGATCGTGGATTAGTCGGTGTTGGGTTCATTAATCACCTAACACCTGATACCACGTAAAAAATCTGTGTCTGTGTTAATCTATGTTCTTACTTTGTTTCAGTTCTGGTTTTGTTGTTCCTGGTGTGTTCTTCGTTGGGTGTTTGTTAAGTTATATTGCAGGGCTCGTGTGATCAGAGAAACAAGAAATGAGAAGGAGTAGAGCGAGTTAGTGAAACACAGCGTAGAAGGGAAAAGAAGTGGGTTGGGTCTGCGGTGTTAATTCAAGAGCAATCTGAGCCCAATCCATAACAAACCAAGTCTCTAATCTGCTGTAGTTTTGCAAACACGAAAAAGAAGCTATTTCATTGTTGTATTAATCAAATCTGTTTTCTTCTTATCCTTCTCACCTGTTATTGTCAAAGGTTGCGATTAGGTTTGTGCAGGTAATTGATTGATCCACGAAGCACACGGAAAAGTCCCAAAACGTCTCGCGCTCGACGTCTTTACAGATGGTATCAGAGACGGTCACCGTAGAACAAGGTTCAACGACCTCTGGTGAAGATCAAGATGGCGTTGGGTTCGGGAAAGGCTACGACGCTGTATTTGGTTGACGATTTCTCATAGAATCGACCTCCAAGGTTTGAAGGTGTGAACTAGGGTTATTGGAAGAACCACATGGAACTTTTTATTGGCTCGACGGATCCATAAATTTGGAATTGAGTCATTGACGGTCCGTTCAAACTCAAGGAAGATCGGAGCAAATGGACGAACGATGATTACGAGAAATACCAACAAAATTGCAAGGCCACCAACCTTATGTATTGTTTGCTTGGTCCATAAGGATACCACGAAGTCTCCAAATGCAAAACGGTTAAGGTGATTTGGGAAAAACTTCGAGTCACATCGAAGGTACTTCTCAAGTTAAAGTATCAAGGATAAATATACTAAAGACTGAGTTCGAAACATTTAAGATGGAGGAGGATGAATCACTACGGCAAATGTCCGAACGATTCACGTACATTGTCAACAACCTGGAAAATTTCGGTGTGTCTTACCAAAGTGGCGATCTTGTTCGAAAAATACTATGGTCACTGCCGAAGAAGTGGAATCCCAAGGTTACTACAATGGAAGAAGCCAAGGATCTAAGGATCTAGAGTTAGGGTTTCACTACACCCAAGTGAAAGGAGGACTACTCCATGGTAGAAGTGGGAAGAACAAAAAGGAAAAAGGTGGAAATCATCTTTTGGGGATGCCTCCTCTCTTCTTGGATGCAAACCCTAACCTTCTTCTTCCCTTTGGTTCTGTTTCTCTCACTAGAATGCTGAAGAAGGTGTTTCTCTCACAAAAGTGGGCTCTCCCCCTCTTCTCCCTGCAGCTCAGCTTTTAAACCCGAGAAGAGCTGAGTTCACGGCCGTGAACCATCAAATGTGTCCGTGAACTCCAGGCGTGCGCCAAAATGCTCCGCATCGCTCACGTCAGTTCACGGGCAACGGCCTGTGTTCACGGTCTTAGTGACTGTGAACTCGCATTGCGTCAGTAACCTTCAAATTGGCTCTGGACGCCTTGTGCTTCACGGTCAACTCCCTTTCTTCACGGTCTTGCATGGCCATGAACTCCTTCCTTTAGCCGTGAACTGGCGCTTTTTCACCTCTTCTCTCGGTTTTCGATCCTTTTCGCCAATCTTTCGACTCTGAGGCTGGTTCCACCTGTTAAATCCTGAAAAGCACTCAAACATGAAGAACCTCGCATAAAACCAACCTTTAATGAGCGAATTTGGCACAAACATCTAAGTCAAACGGGGGAAAAACATGTGTAATTAGGCCCGAATCACTCCCCCACACTTAGACGTTTGCTTGTCCCCAAGCAAACCATTTCACGCCCACGGTAATATTTCAACCTACACAAATGCTTTGGGGACAACTCAAAGGACACAAAGCGGGAATTCTCGATGTTTATTGAAAATCAACACATGAACCGTTGCAAGCAATACCGACATCCACCACAAACGACATTCAAAGCCACCAAAACGGGCAAATGAAAAGTTATCAACTTATTCATGGATAAATGCAAGTCTCAACAAAATCACTTATCGACCACTACCAACCATGCATGGAATTCAAGTCCGAGGAACAAATGGAAAGGCAACGAAGGTTCTCACCGGGGCATGAAATGATAAGTAAAACAAGAATGGATCACTCACTCTCAAGACCAGTGGGGTCGGGACCATTTTGGTGCAAAAGATGTGCACAATCGTAACCTCTCGGCACTATCGCCTCAATACCACGGCGGTAACCTCTAAATGCTAGAGTTCACGGAATGGTTGTCACCACTAGCTCGTCCGGAGGCCTTAGACACTGGTTCAGATGACTGGCGATTGGCTTGGACATGGGGATAAGGATTTTTGGGTGGTGGCAATCATGACGCGAGGTTCTACATCTTCAACCTAAACTCTAAGGGTCTATGGTTGACTAAAACCCTTCTCTTCAATCAAAGGCCACTAGCATCGGCCAAAACCCTTATCTCTCCCTTCCAACTATCACCCATTATGAAATACCTTGAAGTAGGGGTGTTCAAATGGTTATCATGGTTATAACCAAACCAAATAAGGCTAAATTTCATTGACCATGGAATACAATATCATAACCAATCCGTCCAAACTAATACAACAACCAAACTAACCAAACTAAAGTTTAATCGGTTTGGTTAATTGGTTAACCAGATTAACCAATATAAAATCACATTATCATTGACGATGAAAATTTTTCGGTTAATGCAACAATTCGCAATTTATATAATGAATAAAACATAACAATCAACACGTAGTTATAGTTGACCCTTAATAAAAATACAGGCAACTAAGACAATTATCTTACGATTAGTATAGAAGTACTCACCTAACAAAAATTTATGACAATGGTATGGGTTAATGAATTGTTGTGTTTGTGTAAATTGACTTAGTCTCTTAGCAATTATCATAGGCTGGAAATGACCTTCCTTTCAAGTTTTCATCCATCATAATGTATGAAATTTATCTAAATTAGGCGTCCATATGTTGTGGTCTACATTTTACATATACAAATATACACTACATGAGCAATATTGAGCTTTATATTTTATGAGTCTCAAAGGGATGAACGTTAACTCTTGAGTGGTTATGCAAAGTATTAAGTATGTGTATATAATATATGTTAGATATATGACTAATTACTTAACTGGTTAATTTGGTTTGATTGGTTAGGAGTCTCTGAAACCAAACCAAACCACCTAAACCAAACAAGCTAAAAACTTTAACCAAACCAAACCAATTATCAATATTAACCAAACCAAATTATCCAAATAGTGCTGGTTAAAACGGTTACCATAGTAACCAAACCGTTTGAACACCCCTACCTTGAAGCACTCTTCCTCGGTCAACTCTTGCTAGTTCTTTTAAAGTTTGGTAGTGATGGAGTTCTAAACAATGTGGGGGTTTCGATGACTTGCGTTCCAAGAAACCCCTCCTAGATAGGGCTGGCTATTTGGACCGGGACCAGATGAAAAACCGGAAACCGGACCGTATAACCCGGACCGAGACTGGACCGGGACCGGATAGTAAACAATCCAATCCAATCTTTGGGCTTAGATTTGAGGTAAAAAACCGGATAAAGACCGGATAAGAGAGCTCAACACCCAAAACTTAAGGGTAATTTGCATAAACGGTCACAAACCTTTGCACTTAGTACAAAACTTAACCAACTCCTCACCCTTTTAGGCCTTAGGCCACTCAAATTCCCACAATCTCAATATAAAATCAAGACCGAATTGGGA